CTGTACCGATTTTTCATCTCGAGACCTACAAAAGCTACAGAGCTGAAACTTTGGGGACTTGATCTACATGCATGTACGGGCTCCCATCCCCAAAATGGGCGGCCTTATCCGCGTGGTATCCATCTACAGGCCTGTGAAGGTTTTTTGCGGGTAAGTCGCTAACTTGTGAACCAGAAAAGCTAGAAAGCTGAAATTTTAAGGGGATGTTCCCCGTCCACGTAACTCTCAGTGAGCTCAAACCCAAACTCCGAGTATGCGTGGTACCTACGTACGGGCCTACCAAAGTTTTTTTGGATAAGTCACTAACTTGCGAACCAGAGAAGCTAGAAGACTGAAATTTTGAAGGGGTGTTTCCTGACCAGTCTTAATTTGTTTAGCTAGAATCACTTGCCTGAAAAAACGCTGCTGGTAGCGACAAAAACTGCGAGGAACTATGCAAAAAACGCATCTTCGCACGGGCAGCCCGTGCGTTGGCCAATTTATTTATTTCTTCATTTGTTTAGGTCAGACTGGCGGGACGGTGCCGAGGCCAGTAATGATGCCATTACCGCTTGGCTCATCCACTGGTGGATCGTCCATCATTTCGAAAGTAAGTTGGCGGGAATTGTACGGCAGATAATTGATAAAGAATCACACTGAATCTTTTTATCGCGGACTGAAGCTGCCTAAACTGTAGGAGCCAATTCGGGCTAACTATGAATATTATGGCGTGGCTAGGAATGTCTGCAAGTTTTTCGGGTAAATGGGACCCCCGTAGTTGTGGGCGGTTAGCGATTTTTGGTTGGCACCGCTAAATTTTGGTTTCTGCTGGCGAGGTTTTCATTGAGTTGATATAAGATCAGTGGTCGGAGCAGTAATCACCACTCATTTGACTGATACTGTCACATTACTGCAGTTAGTTGTGCTAGCGCACTGTAGTAACTGAAAAGAGTATGTGTGATTCGAACTCCATCCAATTGTGATTCTGTAATCTGTTTGATGCTAAATTGGCACTGACCTGGTCCTGCACGTTAAAAAGCTCAATAACTCTTTGTTTGTTCCAAAACAGCGTCTGAACAACATTCGGTTGCTTCAGTACGAATTTATGCGCGAAATCGCTTCCGGTCTTTAATCTCATTTGTAAATTTATGCTTCAGCCATAGGCATTTACTATTTTTTACGAAGTTCTTGCATTTAAATATAATGTAAAAGAACTGTGTGACAGTGAAATGATCACTAAATTAGTTGCAGGCGATGACGTCATCGAAGTTGACTGCAGCAAAAAGTCCGTCGCAGTCGAAGGCTGAAAAGTGAGCACTTTTTTTCTTAAAAGTTTAATTTCCCCATTTTTATGCGATTTGTGCACTGCAGTAGCTGCATAGAATGCATATTGTCACGAGGTTGTGTGTGTGTGTGTGTGTGTGTGTGTGTGTGTGTCTGATGCATCTTGTCTGCAACTTTCAACTCGGGAACCAGTAAAGCTTGGAAACTGAAATTTTACGAGTATGTTCCCCGCGCGTTTGACCTAGCAGGTTTAAATTTAACCTTCCCATGCTCATGGGTAACAAGTTCGGCTCCGTGAAAGTTTTGGCGAGGAAAAATATTGCCTCGGGAATTGTGAAAGCTGGGGAGCTGAAATTTTAGGGCATTGACTCCCTGCGTACGCACGACCTCGCAAATTCAAATTTATTACTCCCGCGCTCTCGAGTATCACCTGCGGTCCCGTGAAAATTATAAAGGGGAAATTATTATCTCGGGAGCTGTAAAAACCAGAAAGCTAAAATTTTTCGGCAATGTCTTCTGCCCACATACAATTCCGTAAATTTAAATGTAGTTTTCTGGCGCATCTAGGTATCGCGAACGATCCTGTGAAAGTTTTGGCGGAGAAAATTACTACC